AGAGAGAAGCTTATAGAAAGAGAGCTAACACCTCTTAAGAAGCTGAATTTATAAAAAAAACTAACCTGCATGTTATGAGCCGCTGTGTTGATGACAGCACCGTTGGCAGGCTTAGGCTGCATGTTACAAGGTTAGCAGATGCTTTATTACAGTGTAAATCTTAGAACCTGATTAAGAAATATGCACTGAGGTGTGTGGTCAACAGGCCTTGGTAGTGTAATTTGAAGAAATTGGTTGAGTTTGGGTCATAGCTACGAGCCATACGGCACAATGAATGAGTGTATGTAAGAAAGAGGCTTTTATTTTGTAGAGTCCCTTTAGTCTTATTTTGAAAGTCTATCATGGATGTGTGTCAAGGGAAGGGTCATGCCCTGCAGTGATATAGAATCCATTTCTAAATATGAAATCACTGGTTTTCCATGTTATTGTGTGAATAGATGCTGTATTAGAGCGTAAATGGGAGACTTTTATTGTGAAATTCACTCCGGGGTATGTTTTGAAAAGGTCCCTAGAGTCTAATAGAAACAAACTGGTAGAGTTTGGGTCATAATGCTGATCCATTTGCATCAATTAATACGCGAGTATAATATAGAGGCTTTTATTTTGTAGGGTAACTGGAGTCTTATTTTGAAAGTCTAGCAGTAGTGTTTTGAGAAAAGGGTCAGACCCAGCAGTGATACTTGATGACTTTCCAATCATTAAATCACTCTTTCCCCTGTTATTAGGGCAGTAGATGAAGTGGCAATGGGAGGCTTTTATTTTGAAATTTGCTGTGGGGTGTGTTTTGAAAAACCCCTAGAGTGTCATTTTTAAAAAAAGTGGTTGAGTTTGGGTCATAATGTTGAGCCATATGCTGGGAAAAAAATATGAGTTTATTGTAGGAGCTTTTATTTTGAAGGGTCCCCGGAGTCTTATTTTGAAAGTCTATCAGGGTTGCGTGTGAAGGGAAGGGTCATGCCCTGCAGTGATATAGAATCCATTTCTAAATATGCAATCACTGGTTTTCCATGTTATTGGGTGAATAGATGCTGTGTTAGAGCATAAATGGGAGACTTTTATTGTGAAATTCGCTCTGGGGTATGTTTTGAAAAGGTCCCTAGAGTCTAATAGAAACAAGCTGGTAGAGTTTGGGTCATAATGCTGAGCCATTTGCATCAATTAATACACAAGTATAATATAGAGGCTTTTATTTTGTAGGGTCACTGGAGTCTTATTTTGAAAGTCTAGCATGGTTGTGTGTTGAGGAAAAGGGTCAGACCCAGCAGTGACACTTGATGACTTTCCAATCATTAAATCACTCTTTCCCCTGTTATTAGGGCAGTAGATGAAGTGGCAATGGGAGGCTTTTATTTTGAAATTTGCTGTGGGGTGTGTTTTGAAAACCCCCCTAGAGTCTAATTTTAAAAAAGTGGTTGAGTTCGGATCATAATGTTGACCCATATGCTGGGAAAAAAATATGAGTTTAATGTAGGGGCTTTTATTTTGAAGGGTCCCCGGAGTCTTATTTTGAAAGTCTATCAGGGTTGCGTGTGAAGGGAAGGGTCATGGCCAGTAGTCATATTGTATCCACTTCCTAATGTTAAATCAGTGTTGTCTCCCTCCATTAGATTAAAATGTGCTGTTTAAAGTGGTGGAGGTAAAATCTGTTTGAAGCTCGGTTACCTTGACAACGTTAACGAGCCTGTCAGTGAGAGAGAGACATGCGCATCACTTTCGTTCCTTAGTTCTCAGGCTTTTTTGAATGGGATTATCAGCTCCGAACAAACAAGTGCTGAAGACAAACCGTAAAAGGTATCTAAAAAATTCTTTCAGTCTAAGCGAGAGCTATCCTTTGTCTCCGATTGGGGAAACTTTCATGGCTGTAGCTCATTCACAACCTTAATGGGAAGGAGGAATAAAAAGGTTTGAGAAATCCTGCTGGTCTCATTGATTAACATGCAGCACAATGGTAGAGCAGAACTCTCAAAAGCAAAACTTTCCCTCCGAACAAACGAGCGGTGAGCCAAAACCATATTAGGTATTCAAAAAATTCTTTCACCGTGAGCGTCAGCCATCTTTGGACTACAACTGGTGTGACTTTCATATTTCTACAATATTTCGTCTAGGCGTGGTGACGATGTAAAAAAGTGTATAATTGTCAAAATCCTGATTTTGGGGTTCGGACAGATTTGTTACCCCCGAACAAACCTTTTTCCTAGCTAAACGATAAAAGATATCGACACACTTCCTTCAATGTGAGTGCTAGGAAGGTCTGAGGAACAACTTCCACAAGGCTCGTGTTGCTACGTCGAACGGTTCCCGAATGGGAGCGATACGAAAAAGTCTGTTTTTTTGAATTTTCAGTTCGGATTTTCAGAGAGCTCTCATTGGATTTCTATTGGAGAAGTTTGGACTTCTTCGTGGTCTGGGCCAAACTGTCGGAAAACCGTAAATGCCACACAGATGAATGCTGTACGCTAAACTGTAAGCTGTAAGGTTAAAATGGCAGAAAAAGGCTGAAATTTAAAGTCAAAGCTGCTGAAATGGTATGGAATGGCAAAAAAAAGGTCTAATTAGTTTCATAAGAGTAGCTGAAGACAACAGCAGAAACATGGCAGACATGTTATGAATTAACAGCAAGCAGAAAAGCTTAATGCCTTTCCAGAAAGAGAGCAGAATCAAGCCAAAATTGGAAAAAATATGCAGAACTTTTATAAAATAGCAACAACGGTAACATAAACAGTAAAAAAGTTGAATCTTAACTAGTTGAAGACAAAAATTAGTAGCTTAAGGATAGGAAGATAAATGTTGAATATGTATAAAAGTATTAAAGTCAGAAATCATATGTGGAAAAGTAAAGATTTGTAAAACAAAATTTAAATTAATTAAAATGTGTCAGTTGATCAGCAGAGAGAAAACAGTGTCATCCTTAGAATCTTGAAAATCCACAAACCAAAGTACAAGACTGACCATAAGAAGCACAGGAAGGACGAAGCACAGGAAGGACAGGAATGCCTACAGCATTCACACACGCATCATGAACGCGCCCCGGCGCGTTCATGATGCTACGGAAGCCGGCAGACCAAGCCAGATGAAAGTGCGCATTCAGCGTCTGCTCTGCCAATAATGCAAGCGTAGAAGAAGAAATGTGCTGTTTACCTGTGCAAAGAAAGAAACAACGAAAGAAAAATGTCTGAGGACTTCAGTGTTGAGGAAGAGCATGAGTTCTTTGCCGAGCTGAATGCGCTGGTTTGGTCTGCCGGCTTCCGTAGCGTGGGGAGCGCCCATGTGCGCGCTTTCGGGAAATCCTATACACTACTGTTTATGCTCTAAAAACATTCTAAATGACTTCGTTTCGAGTAAATTCTGGATGCTACCCACTCAGGACACTTGGAATACATTGGACGAGCAGTATGGAGGAATATTGACACGTTTTTTGTGGACTGTTATGGACCTTTCTGTCTCGGTCACCATAGACCTCCATTATTTGAATGTCAGCAGACAGCAAGAAGCCTCCCAGATCTCCAGATGCATTTGAGATATCAAAAAAGTACTCCAGAGTGTTGTTCAGCATGGGGGTGAGTAGAAAATGAAGGCTAATCATGTTTTGGGTGTACTATTCCTTTAATGGCAAGATAATAAAACTAGCCCAGGTAAAAGATGTGTGAATGAATTTGCCACATACGTTGTTGTCATATTGTCAAAACTTTGTATCTAATATTTTGTCTAGATTTACTATTTATTTTATTCCTGTTAACAGGTTGGCTCATGCTGTCAGAGTGTTAGTCACCTAACACTGCTGGTTCTACTTGAATGTGATGGAAGCAAATTATTATTATTTTTTTTTAATCTTTTCCCCAACTTATTCATTGTAAGCCATATTGCCTATATTTCTATAAGGTATGTGGCTGTATCTACATAATTACCTCTTGGGGTAAACAGAGGATTCTAATTCTGATTATTTCATCTCTTGTTTTTAAGTTTGTTTTAATTAGTGCTAAGAGGATCTGTATGCGTTATCCTGACTGTTTCCTTGTATAATAACAAGCATCTTTAAACTTCACTTTCCTTCAGCTTGTGCTACAGCTAATATTTGGTGCTCATAGTCAAAAACATATTTAAAAAAAAAAAAAAATAATTCAGTGTTTGGACTGATAGGATCTAGATACATGATGAGAAATCTGAATGATTACTGTGCCTGGAAAAGGCTGTAGAGTACTCCTGTAGTGCCTTTCAGTTTGAGATCATTCCCAGATCCAGTTTCACACAGGCAGAGCATTATTTTTGAGCTAGCAGTCAGGCTGCTTCCCAAATTTCCATACTATCATCATTCATAATATCCTTGATATTTTTTTTTTCATATATCATTGTTAGTTATTAAATAAAGTAATATCTACAGCCATCTTTCAATATGGAATTGGGTGATATGGATTAAAAATCTAAACTTGGATTTTATTTATTGATTTTTATTTCATTTGTTTTTTTTCTACCAATTCAAATTCAATCTGAGTCCAAGGATGGGGTTGGTTTAAAAAAAAACCCAGATTTTCCAAAAATTAAATCTTCATAAAACTTCATAAAATTTGAGTAATCAATTTATTTTATTGGGTGCAGTTTCTGGGCAAAAAATAATATTGTTGGGGACATAAGGATACTGGTAGATATAAACTAATAAAAGTGCCTCATAGAATGTCGGATCATGTAGATTAGTAGGATTATGTTATAGTCATTGATTTCAAATGTGACATGCAAACAAAATAATTAAAGGAACTGCTTGAAAAGGGCAAATTGGGAATAGTTATTAAAACTGAGAAAACTGACACAAACAAAAACAAAAGTGGTTTAAAAGTATAGATTGGCATATAACTGAATTACTTTAGTTGGTGAATTTTTGATGAATGCGGTCCCTTTAGGTTTTATGAATAAAGTAAAAATCATTAGTTCATTTACTTTACCTGCTGTTCTAAAGAGGTTGGCTAAATTAAGCTCAAGTACATTTCTGTTTTTTTTTTTTTTTTTCCCTAGATGAAAAAGAGAGATTTGACCCGTCCCAATTTCAGGAAAGCATTGTGCAAGGTCTAAATCAAAGCGGCTCTGATTTAGAAGCTGTTGCAAAGTTCCTTGATGCATCTGGTGCCAAGCTCGATTACAGGCGATATGCGGAGACCCTGTTCGACATCCTGGTGGCTGGAGGAATGCTCGGTGAGAAAGCTTGACATTAAATATTTTTGCTTGTTTCAGTCTACCTGTTTGAACCTATTTCAAGCTAGAGCTGGATAATATTCCAGTGTTATATACTGAGATATAACTTGATTCAATATCTGTGAATTCACTTTTAAACACACTTTCAAAATTTTAATATGCAAAATGTTTTTCCATGTTCCACTTTGGGGGAGGATCACTGGGCCAATAGAGGTAGGAGAGAAGGCAAGCTCAGACAGGAGCAGCAGGAGAGCAGCCAGACTGACTCTCACAGGGCCTATTGTTACTTCATTGTAATTTTCATCTGATTATATTTTTATTTTATTTGTCCAATATGCCTGACTAAAGGACTAAAATATATTCATTTAATTTTCTTTTTATGAAGATTAGAATTTTAGAAATTCCAGTTGTTTTTTTTTCCCTTATTTGTTTTTTTTTTATTAGTTATTTTTTTGTTTTCCCATCAATGCTCTTTTTGGGCTTCCATAGCTCAGGATGACATCACTTCATCATTTTCTGTTCTTATAAGGGTACTTATAACTGATAAACTAGCTGATTAGATGCAAACAATTAGCTTATGTTTTCATTTTTTTTGTGAAAAGTTGTGTTAAACGCAGTTTTACAGCTTGATTTTCCTTGCACTTATTCCACAGGACATGATTGAAAGTATTGTATTTCGTTTCTCGTTTTTATAAGGAAACTTAAAAAGACATGAAAGTTTTTACTGAAGAATATCTTTAAAATATCCGTTTTATTAGACCCTTTACAACTTAAACATCTTTTAATGAGCAGACTGACACTTCAGGCGTTCAGCGCCGATGCATCTATAACCCTTTAGCCAATTTTCTTTATTTACTTTGGGTTGGAAGTTCCTGCACTGTTCGGCGGATGTGACATTAAGCACGTGCATGTTAAATGGGTCTGACCTACAACCACCTACAAGCCTTATATTCAGGATGGATTTTGTGGGTACTTTGATGGAATCGACATCCAGCTCAAGTCAAACACCAATGGCAACTCCCCCATAAAATGAAAAAAAATATGTATATATATATATAAAAAAAACGCAAGATTCGGGAACAAGCAGAAGAGTGCTGCAGTTTTTAGCTTTGGCTACAGGTGGCAGTATAGTTAGAAAACTCCATAATGCTTCTTTAAGGGGAAAAAACTCTAAATAATATTTGATAGGAAAAAAATTAGATAAGATTTTGAGGTCATATTGCTCAGAACTGTTAGAAAGTAGTATAAGCGCTGAAAATGTAGTTGAAAGGAAGGTTTGAGATAGGCCTGCAGTTCTTCAGCTGCAGCTTGTCCAAATAATTGTTCTTTCAACAGCAGTTTTGAAGACTCTGGTAGAGTGGAATTCAGATGCTACGGTCGCGCATGGGGGGGTTGTGTGTGAAATAAGCATGAGCATAATTAAGGTACATTATTTAGCTACATGTATATGTAAAATCTCTCTTTATAGATTCTATAGTTAACCTAGAGTCCAGTCTTTTTCATGTGCTTTTAGACACTTTAGACCTTTTTTTCCACTTCTGACTGGTGGAGCACTTATTCACAGATAACTCTTTTAAAAAAATCGTCCCTTTGATTAGAGTGACAGAATCAATGGTGTCTAATTATAATGCAGGTTATCTACCAGCTCATCTACAGAGCTAGATGAGCTGTTAGATAGAATTCTAAGTGGAAGTAGAAGAGTACATAAGGTTAAAGGTGTTCTTGGCACTTACATTAAACATCCATTTTCCTATGAAGTTTAATGATGCTTTCAATGACAGAAAGTGGTCAGATAGGGCAACATCAGATACAATGAACCTGGAAATGTTTAGACACTTATTGATGATCAAGCTCAAAATATGTCTCTGTTTGTGTGTTTGCCATTTAACATGTCAAATCAAACCCAAGATGTGTATATGTATCACATAGTTATTTTGCACCTCTGTATTGAGGGTTGTTAGTGTTAATTTTGCAGTCATAATAAACACACAGAACAGATGGGTCATTAAAATGACTGAAAATGATTTTTTTTAACTTAAAAATGAAAGAAGGGCAGCAAAGAACTATTATGTTTTTATGTAGATTTTTTTACAAGACCTTCATTTCCTATTGTGAACCTGTCATGCTGTTAGCTTTTTTTTTGGACAAAATATTTTTTTTTTTGTCAAAATAATATTTATGTCTTGATATCCTCTGCCATCATGTGAACTGCATTGCTAGCAACAATGTGTATATATTTTCACACCAAAATCATAGCATTGGTTTTTTATTGCTTTTGTTTACATGACAGTATAATTCTTAAAAAAAAATCATAACCTATTCAGAGAATATTGATTTTTCTAAGCAGGTTTTAAATAGTTTGCAGTGATTGTAACCAGGGCTGAAACAATTAATCGGATTAATTGTGATTAATCGATTCTTCAGGTAATCATCAACTTTTTTTGTAATTAATCTTTAACATGCCTTTAGTTGACAGAGCAACTCACTTAGATCAGTTATTATGCCGAGATGGTAAGTATATAAACATTTTGCATTTAATATGAAAAAAAAAATCTGTCAAAATTCTCTATCTAGAACTATTCAAGTGGAAAAGTTTTAATTTCACCTTGTTTAATTTTGTAAAAACTCTTCTTTAAGGATCCTTTTGCTAGCAGATTATCAATCGATTAGTCGAAAAAATAATCGACAGATTCAGCGATTTGCAAAATAATCGTTAGGTGCAGCCCTAATTGTCACTAATTACGTGAAGCACAAAGAGATAATTGATGTTAAAAATGTTTAATTTTTAGCCCCAGGGGGTACTCTGTCTGAAGACGTGATCTGCGCAGAATGCTGTGTCTTCAAAGCACAAGAGGATATGGAGACCATGCAAGCGTATGCGCAGGTGAATTTTCCAAATTTTGCAAAATATTTTTCAGGAAGTACATGAAAAATGAGTTTAATGCAAGCTTTTTGTATTTGTAGGTTTTTAACAAGCTCATCAGGCGTTACAAATACTTGGAGAAGGGATTTGAGGAGGAAATCAAAAAGGTATGTTGGAAGTTTGTTTCTTAGAAGTATTTACCCAACTTTGTTATTTTCCAACCTTTTAATAAAATGGCTGTGTGACAGAATCAAAGAAGCAATAATGTATTTTTGTTAATTTCCATGTCATTGGTTTTGCTTATGTATCCTGTCACACAAAGGATTGTGGGATTCCTTATAGCTCCGTAGGGCTAGATAGGATTTTTTGGAGTTTCCAAATACTAAAGGAACTATAATAGGAAGTATGCAGTCTCCTTTCTTTACTGCCAGCACTATTCACAACCAAATTGTGCAACTCTGGAACAACAATTTTTAATTCCAGGTTATGAGGAAGCAAAACATGAAAAATGACAGGAAGTTGAATATTTTTGCAGGCCTGTATGCTATAAGTCTTTACTTGTGTTACAATTTTTTCTAACTAAATTTTAAGGGGGGAAGCAACATTGTTTTATTCGATCATCCAGCGTAATAAAATCTATGTCTTACTGTTTGGCAGCTGCTGCTGTTTCTCAAGGGCTTCACAGAGTCTGACCGCAACAAACTGGCCATGCTCACGGGTATTCTGCTGGCCAACGGCAATATCTCCGCATCCATCCTCAGCAGCCTTTTCAACGAAAACCTGGTCAAAGAAGGTATCCACTTTAATTCTTTACTGGTACTTATCATTTATTCCCTGTGGGCAGAAATTAAGAGTTGGCGTACTGTTAAGTTTGACAAATTAATCTTTGCAAATGATTCCAGAGTTCTTAGTTGTAAATTATAATTTATCATGTGAAATAAACCCTGTATGAGAAATTGAACCCTTTGCTTGTGCTTGCTTAAATATTATTCAATTTTCTGCATGTACATTAAAATCATAGTTGTGCAGAAAAATATATAAAACTCTTTGTTTAAACATATAAAAATATGTTAAAACTGAGTGGACACTGAAACCATCCATTCAGACTTAGATGCTTTGTTTCAGACCATCTGAAATACAGTAGATTTTAAAAGATGATGATATAAGCTAGGGCTGCAACTAACGATTATTTTAAAAATCGATGAATCGGCCGATTATTTTTTCGATTAATCGATGAATCGGACAAAAAATATTTGTTATACTAACCTCTTTATTCCAAAATAAACATTTTAGACAGAACAAACAAGCACACAAGTACAGGTTGCTCATTAACTGTACTGGTGCAATATGAAAAATAAATGTTTGTGTTAAAACTATGCAAACTTACATGAGAAATGTAGCTGTACATCCACAAAATATAGGGTACTTTGTTTCATAAAGCGCAAAAAAGACACACATTTTTGTTTTTAAAAGTCCCTAAGGGGTTCAAACAATAGGCCCCCCCATTTCAACAAATGAGTTTTTTTTAGACTAGAAGAGTTCTGCCTTTTAAGACAGGAAAGTATAGCAGTTAAAGTTGCTACTTGAGAAAATACTGAACCATAGAGATAAAAATAGCCCTGTGATTCAAATTATAAATTGTATTTGGAATAAAAATGAGAGAACTAGGGGTGCTAAAAAACACATCCTCCAAAGACAGATATTTGTAGCATAATGTAGCATATAATTAATTGACATATTACTGATCTTGCTGGCTTTTATTCTGCTTTACTTCCATAAATTGCAGGATCTTCTTTACTTTATCTTTGCCAGAAGATTTAAACTTCAAAAGCCCTGCCCTCATAATTTGCAAGTTAATTTATTTATAAAGGCTATTTTAATATTTGTGATCAATTTGCGCCGTCAATCCCGGCGCATGCGCGCTTCATTTGCAGTCTGGACGCTGAAACATCCTGCTTCTCTGATTGCAGCGCTGAGAGGGATTGGGATGGGGGAGGCGCCTCACGGCAGCAGCTGCTGCTGCAGGACAAGAGTAGGAACGATACATGCTTTCACGTAAGAGTCTCCAAAAGCCGCCAGTAACACCGTAAAAAGTCGCCAGATTTGTCGCTAGTCGCTTTTTTAAAAAAATAGTTGCTGGAGGGGTCTGAAAAGTCGCTAAATATAGCGACAAAGTCGCTGAGTTGGCAACACTGCACACCTGCAGCGCTGGCTTGCTCTGCCGTATTTTTTTTTCTTCCCCCGTTTCAGTCAAGTGGCAGTGATGACGGCGGCGGCGGATGACGCATTAATCGCGCGACACAACTAATCGATGATGAAATTCGTTGCCAACGCTTTTAAAAGTCGAGATTTTTATCGATTTTATCGATTCGTTGTTGCAGCCCTACAGTACACCCTGGACAGGTCGCCGGTCCATCGCAGGGCAACACAGAGACAAATAGGACATACAACCATTCACGCACACAATCACACCTAAGGAGAAACTAGAGAAGCCAATTAACCTAACAGTCATCTTTTTGGACATCTTTTGGGAGGAAGCCGGAGTACCCGGAGAGAACCCACGAATGCTCAGGGAGAACATGCAAACTCCATGCAGAAAGATCCCGGGCCGGGAACCGAACCCAGAACCTTCTTGCTGCAAGGCAGCAGTGCTACCCACTGTGCCACTGAGCACCAAAATAAAAGCAGTATAAAACAGAAATAACAACAAACATGTAAATGAATCAAAAAGGTGTTTTGAGAAGGTTCATCAAATAAAATAAGAATCTAGTTAACTCAGCTACACATGGGCTAATGAGCTGATATGGAGCAGGTGTGAATAGGACTAACAAGAAGGGAGCCAAGGGGAAAGGAAAAGACACAAGGGGGCAGCAGAGAGTAACTCAAGAGCTAAACACTGACAGAAAACAACCACAAAAACACAGAATAACACTTCAACTAAAAAAAAACTTAAATGGAGTGAAGAACCATGAACTGACTGTCCCCTCATCTGATGTGTCCACTGAATCTGTTGCTTGGGTTGTCTCTCTCTCTGCTAACTGACCTGGTTCCTCACATACATTCGCAGAAACTGGCTCTAAAAAAGCTTTTTCCTCAGTCTGTTGGTCAGCAGGCTGAGGTCCGCTTTCACATTCCTCCATTTCTGAGGACGAGTCAATTGAAATGCTTTCAAAATCAGTCCTCTGGTCTGAATGTTGTTGTTTCTGTGCTAACTGACCTGGTTCCTCACATATTTTGTCAGACAACTCTAAAACTGAGTGTAGAAATTCTTGTTCCTTGGTCTGCTGGTCAGCTGGTGTTGCTTCTCTCTCGTAAATGACGAGTTCTGAGGGAAAGTCATTTGATAAATATTCAAAATGTCTAACTTCCTCTTGTGTGCTTTGTTTACTTGGAGAGCAAGCCGGCAAGTTATTTTTTTCCTCCATAGCCACTTCACTTTGATTTGAAGCTTCTTTGCTCAACTTCTTCACCCGTTTTTCTAAATACTTGTTAGCTTCCTTGAGCGTTTTCTTTTGCTGTTTTGCGATCTTGTACTGACTTTTCAGTGTCTTTTGATTTATTACCTCATCTTTCATAGTTTTCCACTGGTTTAGAAGTTCAACATTCCTCAAGCATAAAGCCTCTATCTTTGCAGTTTCTGCAGCGATGATCTCCTTAAAACTGTTCTGAGCTCTTAGCTCGTGTTGAAGCTCCTTGATCCACTTTTCAAATTTTTTGTTTAAGGATATTTCGGCTTTCATCTGTTTTTCCACATCAGGGTGTGAGACCATTTCACGAAAACCTTTTTCAAGATGTTCGTTGAGTAAACGGAGTTCTAGGGCGTTTCTCCTGTTTGTTCTACGCATTTCTGTTACCTGAGCGAGATTAACGTTCTTTGCCCAGAAATTCATTTTTAGATGTTTTCTTGCAGTTTAAATCAATAAACGCTTTGAGAGCAAAATAACCACAGCTAGCACACCAGAGACCTGAGCTGGAATGAAGCAAAGATTCTAACCACCCAACAGGGATCAAAGGAATGTATGACGGAGGCGGAGCCACTGCTTATGACATCATCATTCTATGATGATGTCATAAGCAGAGGCGGAGCCACTGTGGTGGCAAAGGGGGGCACCCGCCCCCCTTGTGATCTGATTGGCCACCCCGTGTGCCACCCCAAGTGTCATTGGCTTTCATGGATGTCTATTATTCTGCCTTTCAAACGCGACAAAAGTTTTTGAAAAGTGCCGTTAAAAGTACAGTGCTGGAAGAGAGCTAACATCTTTATATTTCTTGATAAAAGCTTTTTCCTCAGTGTGTTGGTCAGCAGGCTTAGGTCCGCTTTCACATTCTAACCACCCATATATATAACAGGGATCAAAGGAATGTATGACATCATCATTCCATGGTGATGTCATAAGGCCTCCATGGCCCAGTAGGGTTATTTTTAGATCAAAACAAAGCACAGAATGTTTACTGTTCTATCAACAGAACTAGACAATACAACAGTATAAAGGAATATTCCTTTCTGAATTTAAAGTCTTTTATCTGAAATATATAAAACGTTGCCATGGTGTTTATTAGGGTGGAATCCTAATTTCATACATCAATTGCTTGGCTTTTTTTTTTTATCTCCTCGAAGGAAGTTCTGTTTTAGCTGTGTTTCTTTTTTCGTCTGTTTATTAGCCTGATTACTTTAATCAGATTTTAATTACATTTTTACCAGAGATGCGTCTCAGGCAAAGGAACACTATTACTATTTTGGTGTTAAACCTGATCATAATTGGGATTGATTAAGTTTTGTAAAAGGATTCTTTAACATTGTCAGATAGTGGAATATGATGGAACTAACAGTTCCCCCATAAAGCAGAGGGTGGCAGTAGTGAGTATTGACAGCTTCAGGCTGAAAAGTCAGCATTAATCACATTAGACTAAAGGCAAAAATATAAAACACAAGAAAAGGCATTTATATTTTTCCCCCTTTATTAGCGTGAATGTATAATTTCTATAAATGACAAGGCTGTTGTTTCTCTTAACAGCCTTTTTTTAAACTCAGAATTTCTTGGTTAATTTTCTGAAAACAGCATTAAAGGAATAGTACACCCAAAACATGATTAGCCTTCATTTTCTACTCACCCCCATGCTGAACAACACTCTGGAGTACTTTTTTGATATCTCAAATGCATCTGGAGATCTGGGAGGCTTCTTGCTGTCTGCTGACATTCAAATAATGGAGGTCTATGGTGACCGAGACAGAAAGGTCCATAAAAGTCCACAAAAAACTTGTCAATATTCCTCCATACTGCTCGTCCAATGTATTCCAAGTGTCCTGAGTGGGTAGCATCCAGAATTTACTCGAAACGAAGTCATTTAGAATGTTTTTAGAGCATAAACAGTAGTGTATAGGATTTCCCGAAAGCGCGCACATGGGCGCTCCCCACGCTACGGAAGCCGGCAGACCAAACCAGCGCATTCAGCTCGGCAAAGAACTCATGCTCTTCCTCAACACTGAAGTCCTCAGACATTTTTCTTTCGTTGTTTCTTTCTTTGCACAGGTAAACAGCACATTTCTTCTTCTACGCTTGCATTATTGGCAGAGCAGATGCTGAATGCGCACTTTCATCTGGCTTGGTCTGCCGGCTTCCGTAGCGTCATGAACGCGCGGGGCGCGCTTTCAGGAAATCCTATACACTACTGTTTATGCTCTAAAAACATTCTAAATGACTTCGTTTCAAGTAAATTCTGGATGCTACCCACTCAGGACACTTGGAATACATTGGACGAGCAGTATGGAGGAATATTGACACGTTTTTTGTGGACTTTTATGGACCTTTCTGCCTCGGGCGCCATATACCTCCATTATTTGAATGTCAGCAGACAGCAAGAAGCCTCCCAGATCTCCAGATGCATTTGAGATATCAAAAAAGTACTCCAGAGTTTTGTTCAGCATGGGGGTGAGTAGAAAATGAAGTCTAATCATGTTTTGGGTGTACTATTCCTTTAAGCAAAATGATAGTGCAAGCTGTTTGTGGTTGCAGAAAAATAGGTTTAAAATGTGTGCTAGCTATGAGGTAAAGACGGTGAATTCCTGACTATAAACTCTAATATTTTCCAGCATGAAATGTTGATATTCTACACTAAGTTACTGGTTTTATTTATAAACTGTTGAGTTATGCTCAGCTCTCTGGGATCTTTTTCAAATTAATTTCAATTTAGGTTATTTCTATAGCATCAATTCACAACACATGTCATCTCAAGGTGTCAAGGCAGGACAAGGCAAGTTGCAGTGGGATCCAGATCCTCCAGAATTTGCCCGGCTTTTGATGATGATTTCTGAGACAATAGCAGAAATTTGTGATATCCACATATCATCTGTAGGGGCCTGTGATGCTGACCATCTCAGTAGTTAACATTTTCGGCTGTGCTGCTGCCATCAACTCCTTTGTTTCTAGATGTTGGAGCTTGGCCTGTTTTCCAGTGTAGTCCTGTTTCTCTGACTGTGACTGGCTGGATGTGCTCTCTTCATCCTCTGACATGGGAGCTGGCTCGGAGCTCGTCTGCCTGGCTGTGTGTTTCCTGGACGGGGCCGCCAGTGGAGCTGGTTGACAGTTGCCTTTTGTATCTATGCTTCTTTTTCTATGTATGCTTCTGTCAGAGATGGGGACTCGAGTTTGTGACTCGTACTCGAGTCGCACTTAAGTCGCATATTTAATGACTTCAGACTCGACTTAGACTTGCATTTGAAGGACTTCAGACTCGACTGAGACTCGTGATTTCCGACTTGTGAACAATATTTTATTCCAGTGTAAAAACACTTATTCAAGTGTTTTTTGTTTTACTAACTTGACTGATCGCCGCTCGCCTTACCCGCACACAGAAGAGGTAAAAAAAAAAAAAAAAGTAGCACTTGTGGCCAGTATGGCCCCACACTCGGTCTTTGACACAAGGGGGAGCAAACAACTCAAAGACCCAAACCGTGAAGCACTCAAAGTTTAAGTGTTTTATTTATACAAAAAGCCACAGCAAAAGTGGCATAATAAAACAGTCCTTTTCTTCTCCTGATAAAACCTAAAATTCAAGAGTTTTCCTTAAAAATCAGAGGCTGGAAGTTGGGCTCTGCTTGTTATGCTGCTTCTGGTGCGAGTGATCGGCCTGGTGGAGGCCACTGGCTGATCCACAGCTGACTCTGCGGTGCACCGGCACTGTTCCACTCCCTGGCGTGCCAAACCCCTTTCCAGACCGATCCAGCTAAAAAGAGAAGCAAGGAGAACGCCAGCATAAGCTCTCCTGTAATTGTTTTAAGTTTATTTTAAAAACCATATATAAGTTTTGAATGTGTTACATTTAAAAATAAAGCACTTGGTTGTGTTAGTTCAGGTTTATTTATGTAGCACCAGATCACAAGGAAAGATATGTTAAAAAAAACATTCAAAAAGATTTTAAGGCAGCAAATCCATTTGCCCTCTTTGACAGTTAGCTGTCGGATAAGTTGTTATAGTGAGGTTTAGGGAGCGTACAAAATATACACACCCATGTTTACAGTCACACAGTGTATGAAGACGTTCAGCATGGCTTTATTCAGTTGTCAGCTTTGTATTTGTTGACAGTTGGTCACAAAGCAGTCACATTTTCTCTTTGTTATAGTTTCATGTCATCTGTTTGTTTTTACAACTATATCTGTGTTTTTCCTTTTCTTACTTGCGGAGTTTCTTTCTACACAGGCACAGACTTGAAATTGTCAAGCTGATTTATTTCACTGTGACAGATTGATATGCCTATTTGACACATAGGATAACATGTTGGAAATTATTTATTAAGCTTTTCTAATTTTTTATTTTTTTTGCTGGCCATACAATTAAAAAAAACTCTTCTTTTGTGTGTTTTTTAAACAGAACCACCTGTGTTTGTTGCATTTTCTTTTTTACTTAAGTAGAAAAGCTATTAGATGGATCTTATAAAAACATAAGTGCTTGTATTTAAACCACTACCTTTTTCTGTTAATGTGCAGACTTTTGATTTTATTCAAGACCTTAGAAAAAGACCTAAAAGAATACCAGAAATCTAAATAAACAAAAAAGCACCAGATCCATGCATTTCTCATTAAAATCTAATTTTATACTGTTTTTGATATAGATTGAAGTCCCAAGAGCCAAGGCTGTTTTAGTCTTATGTATAAATTCTTTTCTCATTTATTTCATGCTTTACATTAATATGATGGTAGTTTGATTTGCTCTCATTAGTGAGAGTTGAACAGCTCTGCTGCTAAACAGCTCTTCTTTTTTATATCAAAATAATTACAGTTAACACTTTATGCTCCTTGGTTTTGCCTATAAGATAAGAGATTTGCATTAATGCGTTTATTTTTTTAAAGCATTTTAAATGCAGTCCCTTTCTGTAGAGTTTGAATACCACTCCCTTAGTTGATAGATTCCCAGAACGCCTCACAATGTTAAAAGGATAGAGACAATTTGACTCATCCAGAGAGTAAAACAGCATCATAGCTGAAATATGTTCAGCTTCCTGAAGATTTTGCTCTGTCTATCCTTAATCTTTATTGCTTGTGACATAATAGCTTCCTCTGTTTATGTTCAGGCCCTCCAAAGCCTACATTTCTAAACTCAAACTGCTTACAAAGAGATCATATCCAATTCAATCCACTTTTTTTATATGGATCTAACTTTATGATCATAAACAGAATATGAATTGTTCAGATTGAATCTGGTCATGTAATTTGATATTAAATGCATTGGTTTAAATACGATTTTACTAGATTGAACTTGAATCTAAAGGTTCCAAACTGAACCATTTTACTTTGAAATTGTGTTTAATCGATAGGCACCAGCACCCCTCACGACCCCACTTGGGAGTCAGCGTGTTAGAAAATGGATGGATGGATGGAATTGTGTTTAATCAATTTGAAAATTGAATTAGTCTTTTTTTACTTCCTGTTTCATTATTCAATTTTAGATAACAGTTCATTTCTTTGTATCAGACTAAAGAGTAAGTAAACAGATTCAATTCATTTCAGGTTAAGCTTTTTATTTCTTTTGTTTATTTAATAATAAACTCATTTTGAGCTGAAGCAGTAAAGCGTATATGAGCATTGTAGATGTCATTAAACGTATTAATGGGGAAACACAAAAGGGTTGAAGTAACCCTAATGTTTACATATGCTATTTTAGCTTGTTTAGCTAACGGCTAAAGGTAACAAAATGCTTGCAGTTAGCCCAAGCTTGTTTTTTTTTTTTTTTTCATGTTTTTCATACATTGCCGTTTAACATCATTACTATCTTTTACCAATTAATGCTGAGCTCCAATGCTTCAGCTCAAAATGCAGTAAAAGGAGTTAAAACCTACTGTGGAATATAAACCACTGATAATCTGTGTTAGAAAACTCTGTGGCTTAAAGACCCCGATTGTCTGACGCAAAGAAGCAAAGAAACTGAATGTTCAATCTAAAATTAAATAATAGAACTGAAATGAAACATAGACAACTTTCAATGCAACAAAGCACATTTTCAAAGAAATTCTATCCAGTTTCAAACGAGTGAATTAAGTTTCAATCTAGTTACGTTGATTTTTAAATCAATACTTCAAATTACACAAATACAGAATCAGTCAAATTAATTCAAATTTTAATTTCTTACAGCACAAGCCATTATCCAAACAATTCACAACACCTCAATTTAACACACTTTAACAATCCTATCAAAATCACACAGATATATATTTGTTAAAAATATCTATGTAATGACTAGTCTACAAGCTCAGACTTAAAAAAATGTTAATCCTGCTATTTCCTAAAAACATCGATTATTAATTGCAAGTAAAGAGATAAAGTGGTGTTGTGAGGTGTGTCTGGCTTTGGTTGCTTGTTTGTCTTTTCCTGGCTGCAGAAGAAAACATTGGCCACACAGCCTGCAGTTGATGAATAGTCCCAGCTAATCCAGCACCTCCCTTTATCAGTCACTTTACCCTTGAAACTTGAATCTTTAAATAGATTGACTCAATGGTTCTCTAATTTATATTTCCATAAGTATAGTTATTGAAAATCTGTTTGTTTGAATCGTATTACATAGATGTAACCCCATCATATCCATCTCCATCTGCTTGATGCTCTTATTCCAATTAAACAGCACACACTTATGTTTACTGATGTATTACAGAAGCCTAACTTGATCCCAGTAGATCTGTTTGCAGCAGCTGACTCACATTATCATTCATTTATTCAGGTGTTTCAGCTTCCTTTGCTGTGAAACTCTTTAAATCCTGGCTCTCCGAGAAGGACATTAACTCAGTGTCTGGCAGTCTACGGAAGGTTGGCATGGACAGCCGACTTCTGGTGAGAATGATACATTTAAAGGCAAAATTATTATCACATAATAAAGTCTAAAAGAGGGTGTCCTCTGATTATGAATGTTAAATCTAATCAAATGCATGTATTAGTATGAAAGTTAATAGTATTGCATTCAGCAGCTTGTATTTAAAGGTTTCCTTCTGATAAAAAACCCTCCTCACTAAAGATTTGACTCCTTTTAGGAGCTGTTTCCAGCTAACAAACGCAGTAGTGAGCACTTCTCAAAGTACTTCAACGATGCAGGGCTAAAGGAGCTTTCAGACTTTGCCAAAAACCAGCAGTCCATAGGTGCACGCAAGGAGCTACAGAAAGAGATTGAAGATCAGATGTCACGAGGGGATGCCCTCAAGGATGTAAGTCCACTTAGTTTTCCTTTTTTTATTTAATTTTTTGACTCTGTTCTTTTTATATAGCACACCACTGAGAGTAGTTCAGAAGATTGCTTTCTTCTTGACCCCTGCCTGCCTTTGTCTTGAGGAGCGGCAGCAAAATGGATGCAGTGAATCACTGAAAAGTTTCAGCAGTCCACTCAGCCACAACAATATTATCACCTACCGCACGCTTCTGAGGATTCTAATGCCTAATGCATCTGGAGGATTTGATAAGCAGAAAGATTCTGCACATACTGGCTCTGGTTTGACTGCATTGTCGTCACTGTGTTCTGCAGATTATCGCGTACACCCGAGAGGAAATGAAGAAGAGCAACATCTCAGAGCAGACAATGGTTGGGCTGATTTGGTCCAGTGTGATGAGCTCCGTGGAGTGGAACAAGAAGGAGGAGTTGGTCGCAGAACAAGCCATTAAACACTTAAAGGTGACGCCACTGTTAACTATTGTAATGCTTTCTCTTCTCTCTTTAGCCTATTGCAGAATATTGAAGTAAAATTGTAAAGAAACTTGGCTAGGCCATAAAAACTGAAAGATTATGGGAAATCCATGCAACTGGAGGTTTATTACAAGGAACAGAGCATTTTCAATGCCTTGCAAGAGGATCCATACTCAATATTTTCTTCCTTACAACTTTAAATGTGCATGTAGTTTATATAGTAGATGTGAAGTAATGTTTTTACTCGGTAAGACACTATTCAGGATTTCCTAATTATTAAACTAACACTAGTGTTTGTGTAAATGTGTCAAAAGTTGAAATACGTTAGTGAACAAACAAAACACACCCAAGCATCAGGTTTAGGATATACAAATATATCTTAAGATGGGATCATTTCATTGAGCAATGCTCTGTCTGTCTTTTAAAATGGACAGAGTACAGCGCAAACATAAAGCTACTGAGACACGTCTGCTGTGTAGGTAGGGCAGCTAAATTCACAGAGGCTGTGGAGGAACTGCACATTAACAGATTAGCAAAGATGATCTTTAGGACAAACCACGATGGACTCATTTAATTTGGGAATTATGCAAGAGTGGCGAAAATAAGGTCTTATTTACAGTTTGCCATAGGTGCTTTAAGAGATGGTGATAATTTTGAGGAAGGTGCTCTTGCCAAATAGAGAACAATATGAAAGTTTTTGCTCTACATGCAGAATACTTTCTGTGGGAGAAAACTCTTCACATTATGCGAAACATACCCCATGGCTGATACAGGGTGGCAGCATCATGCTGTGGAGAGGTTTTTCTTTCACATAGAGGGACAGTGGGCTAAACACAAAGCATTCCTAAAGGGGGAAAAAAATAAATTATTACTGACTTGGGTGAAGTTTTAGCCTCTAGCACTAAAGCAAGCCTGATTTACTGCCAGAAAGTTAGCTATTTTAAAAGGAGAATAAAAAAGATGTCTAATTTTCTTTTAAGATATTTATTTCTTAAATTGGAAAAAAAAAAAAAACAGTGGATCATTTCCTTTATGTACACTATATATTACTATATATTCGTTCTTGTAGTTATATTAGTTATAACAGATTTGCAAAATGTGTTATACGTATGAATACTTTTGCAAGGTAATTGAAGAAATGCAACCAATGAATAAAAAAAACAAAAAACAATAATAAAAAAAGTAGAAAACTTAGCACTATTCCAGAAGCACCATCTGTCCATCAAAACCATCAGATGTTCAAAACTAACAGCACTCTTTACTCTACAAATGTCTGCCGTTTTCAGCAATATAGCCCGCTGTTGAAGGCTTTTACCTCCCAGGGATTCTCTGAACTCACGCTTCTGCTGAAGATCCAGGAATATTGCTACGACAACATCCACTTTATGAAGGCCTTCCAGAAAATCATTGTTCTCCTCTACAAAGGTGAGTTAATTATGCCCATAAGGCTCCTGTTTCCATGTTTACCCTTTTTGTGAGGAAAACAGTTTTTGTGGTGGGAAGCTAAGAAGGCTCGTATGAAGGATGCCAGATGGCCAGAGATTAGAGCCAGAAAGTTTGTCTTGATTGATGTCATCAACCAGCCTTGGTGAAGATCCCCACCCCCCCACAAACACCTGGGGATGGTGTTTGTGGGGGGGGGGGGGGGGGTGATGCTCCTGGCACTGATGCCAGGAGCATCTGTGCTCCTGGCATCAGGTTAAATAGATGTTCTTTCTCTTTCTACTTAAATTTCAAGCGGATGTCTTAAGCGAAGAAGCAATTCTGAAGTGGTACAACGATGCCCATTTGTCCAAAGGGCAAAGTGTTTTCCTGGAACAGATGAAAAGCTTTGTTGAATGGCTCAAGAACGCAGAGGAAGGTAGGCTTCTCTTTCTCTCTCTCTGTTTAAATGTAATTTAGATATTTTTTTAACGCTTCAATGTTTCATCATTCCAGAGTCTGAGTCAGAGGAAGAAGAGGCAGACTGAGGATGTCGTATGACGAATTCAGTGCATCATTTCAATTTAACTTTACATGAGATTCTGTCCAAGGGTTGGGTTTTTTTTCTTAACAGAAGTCCCTTTATGTCTTGTGTTTTTATTCTCTACCTCTGCATATCTTTGTCAACTGTCATAGAAGGGCTTTAATATTCTTTGGACTTGCTTCCTTTATAAATCAATACTTGTACTTCTCTTTGTATTTCTTAAAGAGCCTTTCTTGGTGGCAGACTGAGCTAAATGGAGAAAAATATTCTATTCCGACTTTTTTTTTTCTTCCTTTGTTGAAAGGCAGTTTCCTTTTAATTTAGCCACTTTGATGAGAAATTTCACTGCTTTTTGTATTTGGTTTTAGAGCTCATATTTGCAAAAGGCTTCCATCTGTGTAACCATGATATGGTGTTCATGTAAAAGACAAACTGTTTTCTGACCTCGTTTTTAGATCTCTGTCAGTGGTGTGACAACGTGGAATTTACTGCCGGTTTTTAGATTCAGTCTCCATTACTGGGAATGGAGCTTTGCCATTTTACACAGTCTCCTTTATGATGGTAATGTTGCCCCAAAAATTATGTTTTAAAATTCTTAAGTGAGTTTTGTAGGGTTATGGCTTTTATCAAACATTTTAAAATAAATAAGTAAATTTTATCCTGAATGCAGTGTGCGTTTATCCACGATGAAAGCTGGTAAACAGTGCCTAACAAAAGTATTCACTTTAATGTGATAAATTGTACAAAATTACAAATAGAAACTTCAGTTTATCATTATTCCATACAGTTTATTGCAATAGTTGCTCTCAATCATTTAGGATATCTGTTCAAAAGCTGTGAATCCCCAAAGGGGCAGTGTGTAACAAATTTGACTTTTTACTAGCAAAAGTATTGCTTTGATAATACATATTGTGTGAAAGTTAATTAACATCGCATAACATCCCCCACACCAATTTTATTTTGCATTTTAGACACTTCCATCTACATCATTTTCACAACACACATGTATGTAGGGCATTTTCGGGGGGTGGGGGTCAGGGCCACTGGGGAGGGGCTTATTTTATGGGCCTCACCACGGTTGGCCGCCTCCATCCCCTCTCGCATCTAGACATTGAGGGTTGAGGGATGTCGAAGGGGGGGGTGTGCTGGCACCGTCTATCTCCTGGAGGGGGGGTGGAGTGTGCCGGACACCCCCTCTTGGTACTCCCAGTTTTAATTGCATCTGAGAGCAACACGCAACAATACCACATTCGAGCGGGCGCAGTGAGGATCGGGGTCTTCTCACACCCCTGTTCTCCGGCTGCCGCCTGGAGTCTGGGGCCTGGAGGAAGAGCAGGCCACCTGGTCCGTGGTTTTGGCTGGGGCTGGCTGCCTAAGTGGCCTGCCGGTGGCGGGGCTGTCACCTCTGCTCTCCCCAAAGAAGGTTGGATGAAGGGGCATGAAGTGCCTGGTTGAAGGTTTTTTTTTTTTTTTTCTTTCCGGGGGGGGGTTCTGGTTGGGTGGCCGGCGCGGGATGGGTGGGACCCGGTCCCGGGGGGGGCTCTTGCTGGGGGTGGTCCGGTCCGTGTGCGGGGTGGGGGGCCGGGCTTGAAGCAGGAAAGAGATGGTTTGGTGTGGCGATGTCGCCGCTCCCCTCACATCCGGATTTTAGGTTCACTTATGGGGTCATCCGATAGTCCCGGGACCGACCACCGGTGTCACCGGGTTTTTGGTCCTGGTATTATTGGATGTGAGTGTTATGTGTGAATGTGTGTCCGCGTTGTTATTTTCTTTATTTATTATTATTTTATTAAATTTTTTTTTTTTTTCTTCTGTGGTACGAGTGGGGGCACTAGGGAGGGAAAGCATGATTGAGATGGTGTGTTTTTTTTTTTGTTTTTTTTCCCAGGTTGGGGTCTCAACCGCACCCTCTCCCAAATACATCTCAAGTCTCCGCTAAGTGCGGAGCCCATTCCCCCCGTCCTGCTCTCCCTCCGCTGGCTGGCGTCGGGGCTCACCGGTGCACTGGTGGAGCTGGGGGTGGATGCCCGGGGGACTGCTGGCTCATTCCTGGCGGCCTCTCCGCTGGCCCCGGCAGGCCGGGGCTTTGCTGGGGCTCCTGTCTGGGGATCGGGTGCCCTTGGGGCCTCGGATCCCTGGGGCCTGGGACTGGATCCGCTTCGGGGTGGGGCTGGCTGTTGTTCGGGGATTTTCGGGGTCGGTGCCGGTGCCTTCGCTACGATGCCGGCTACTGGGCGGTGTTTTTTTCCTATGCCGGTTCTGTGATATCGGTTCGGGGGGGGGAGCTGCACGGCATGGTGGGGTGCGGGTCTTGGGTCCTGTTTTGGGCTCCGGTTTTTTCCGCTCGCACTTCTCCTCTTGCCTATTTATTTTAATTGTAATTATAAATGTATTAATTAATTTATTTATTTACCTATTTATTTATTTATTTATGTTTTTTTTTCTCTTCCTCGTTGGGGGGGAGCGGTTGTGGGCGGGTCGGTGTCTGGTGTCCGCTGTCGCATTGTGGGGGCTCCTTTTTTTTTTTTTTTTTTTTTGTGGGGGTTTGGCATGTCTGTTTTCTCGGGGGGTGGGCGGGCCTGCTGGGTGGGGGTCCTGCTGGCGGCGCGCCGCTGGTGTGTGGGGGTCCGGGCGGCTCCGGCGGGGGTGGTGTTGGGGGGCCGGTTTGGGCGGGCTGGCTGCGCTGGCTGGGTATTCAGGTGGGTTTTCCCTCTTGGAGGCATGGCGGAGCTGCTCTGTTCCTGCTGATCGCGGCGGGTGGGGGCTTGGAGTGGCTATGGCCGGCGCGTGTTGGGGGGCCGGGGCGGCGGAGCTGCTCTGGCCGCGTGTCAGGGCCTGGTGCGGGCGGCGGACGTGGCTGTGCTGCTTTGGCTTCGTCCGGTGGGGGAGGGGCATGGTTCGCTCCGCTCTGGCTTTGTGCTGCCCCTCTGGCTGCTGGGGGGGGGGGGGTGGTTGCGCCGGCTGCGGTCTGCTCTTCTTGCGGTTTTGCGCCGGGCGGCTTTTCTGCTCTCGGGCTGATTCTGTGCGCGGTGTGTTTCGTTGCGCGCTGTTGGCATCGGTCTTGGTGGGGTGGGGCTGCGCTTTTGGCCGGGGGGGGCGTTTTGGGGGGGTCCCGCTGCGCTCGCGGCCGGTTCGCGGCGGATGCGCTTGGGCCCCGGCCAGAGGCGGGGTCGCCTGAGTGTTTTTCCTGGGTGGTGCGGTCATGGCGGGTGTTGCGGCCGGTCGCCGGGGCTTGGTGCCGGGGGGCGGGGCGTGTTTCGGTGCTCTGTGGGGCTGGGGCGTTTCGGTCGGTGCCGTGGGGGGGCTGGTGTTCGGTGCCCGGCCCTACTTCGGGGTGGCCGGCTGCCGGCGGGGCCCGCGGACTCGTCCCCGCGGCTCCCCGGGGCGCCGGCATGGCGGTGGCTGGGGGGCTTCTTCGTGGCTGTCTCTCCTCCTACCTTGGTGGGGGTCTGATTTCCGGGGCTGGCCCCGCCTTGGTGCCTTCGCTTCTGGGGTCCCTTTGGGCGCCTGGGGCTTTGGGTCTCCCGGCGCTGGACTCAGTGCTCTGGGGGGTGTGCCTCTCCGGCTCTCCACAACCACTATTGAGCATTTTTTCTATGGTTAAAACTTTACATGCACAAGTTCACCCTCACAAACAACTACAGGTGCTAGGCTTCAGGTACTTAGAGATTCACTTCCAAACAGAAACCCCACATTCATATCTTCAGGTAACACAGAGTACATGTCAGACTTAATAATATTACTTTAGCATTAGTTTAAAGGTGTTTGCTTTATTGTATATCTCGTACCATGTCTTTTGGTTGTGCTGTTCCTTTTTTTTTTTTTCATCTCATTGCAGGTGATGAAGCAGACTGAAAATGTTTTGTCATTGTCTCCTTTCTATCTCCTCTTTCTTTCATCTTTTGTCCTTTTTTTTTCTTTTTCCTTCTTCTTCTTCTGTTTTTCTGCTCTACTTACATTGCAGTGTCCATATGAACTGTAAAACTCCTTGCATAATTATAATAAAGCAATTTATATGCATGAAACAAGTGGAGCAGTATGGCAATTGCCATACCGCTACACTTGTGAAAGTAAAATCTGTTGGGCCCCTTTTGGCATCAAGACAATTATTCTTATTGCCACCTTGCCAGACAGGACACTGTAAAAAAAAAAAATAATAATAATAATAATTAACATCGCATTAAAAATGAAAGTTTTCTTATAACTTAAAGTTATTAGTTTATGAATGCAAGCAGGGCGATGCACCCCATGGGAGATGCCATACTGCTTTGCCATTTTGATTAGATTAGCTGAAAAGGAAAAACTTATCATCCTTGTAACTTTTACCTGTATCCAAAAACGTGTTGTCAGTAGTGAAGGAGTTTAAAATGCCAGCCTGTTGTTTGTAATTCACTTAGTGTACCACTAGATGGAGGTAAAACTTACACACTGTCCCTTTAAGTCTAAAGAAATTGCTCTGTTTGAAATTTAACTTTTTTACAAGCCTTGTTCTACCTCTAAACTGGTTTTCTCAGATTTATCCCCACCCCCCCGCACAACTTTTATTGTAATTACATTGTCATAAGTACAGCACAACGAAATGAACTCTGTACATTTGACCCATTTCCTTGGGGAGCAGTGTGTGGTGCTAGGGGAGCAGTGTGGAGGTTAAGGGTCTTGCTCAGGGACCCAGAATGGCAGTCCGTGGGAGTGTGTGGGACTTGACCTCAGAACCTTCAAGACCCAAGCTCAATGCTCTAACCACTAGGTCACCATTCAAGAAAATATGGAACCGCTTCACAATCACGCATTTCATCACTGCGCAGGGGCCATGCTAATCTTCTCTGTATCTGTGTCTATTTTTGCATAAGTTGCTAGCTAACTAACGACAAAAAAACAACTTAATTCAAGATATTAACTTAAATTAAGCTTGATCTGTCAGAACTACAACTGAAAGTCTTGATGCTTCCTTTCAAGAACTTTTTTTCATGTTTCTGCACACCCAATCTTACCATTTTCCATCATCTGGTCCTACCTCCAAAACTGCATCTCCACAGCTTTGTCATATTTACCACAGGGCTTGTTGCTATTGAGCCATTTTTATTTGATTTCTTCATAGTTATTGTATTCCTTGGTGTCTGTCACTACTAAAGAAAGGTGTCCCCACAGCATGATGCTGCCAACACGTTCCACATTGGGAATCGTGTGTTAAATTAGTTTAAAGTACTACTTTGTGTTTTTGTAACCTATATTACATTCCAGTTTTTGCTGTAACCTGACAAAATGTGTAAAATAATCCAGGGTATGGATATTTTTGCCAGGCATTTTAAAATGCAGCTCAAGCCATAGAGTTAATCGTAAACAGAAATTCATGGCAAAAAGCTGCATGTGTAAAAAATGAAAAACAGATTCAAGTGATGCATCTCCTACTGTTTGTGTTAACCCGTGTTCCTTCAAAATGTTTTTACTAGTTGATTTCTTCTTGAATATCCTAATTATCCAATCAGTGAAAGCAGCTTGACATCATAACCTGAGGAGTAAACAGCAATCTCAGCTTCTTCACTGAATCCCCACTTAAAATCAAAATTACCATGCTGTCAGGAGCGGAAAAAAATTACGCGGGATCGTGATGATTGAAAATGTTACAAATAGGTCAATTAAGATACAGGCACATAGTGTTAAGGTATATCTACCTGCCAAATTAGGTAAATACAGATATATAAATGCGTATTAAAAAGATCATCCTACACAGCAGGGCATTTATCAGATGATAATCAGTTTTACTTAGCACCAACAGATGGCAGTAAACCCTTAAGAGATTTTTCCTCCCCCTATTAAAGCATGCCAGAGTTTTGGAATCAAGCTCAAACAAAAAATGCCATTTTGAAGAAACCTGACTCAAGTATTAGACAGGACTACAAAGTATGCAGCACAAGTATTTTCTCTACCTCTGTCTCAGGAGGAATTGTTTTCCTTTTGGTTTTATTTAGTAGCTTTACAGCACATGAAACAATTTGGTAGAGTGACATGTTGATATGGGGAAACATGACTGTTTTTATGACTTCTGTGGGAGTGTATTTAAGTGCATGCAGCAGTGATCACCTCCTCCCCATTGCCATCAGTACCAACAACAGTTCTCCCCCTCACGCACACCGCCGTGCATAGTTTTAAACATCACTAATGGGGACTGTGCTCTGTTTGCTGTCTGCCTGCTCAGCCGCACACCAAGGACTCCTTCCTGCACAATGAGGAATGCGGTGCTATAATGAGGTGTCCAAGCAGTGTCCTGACATATCTGCTTATTTGCCATTTTTACCAATTACATCAGCTAGACCTACTGCAAATATCCCAGGGTGTAATCTTCAGCAGATCTACCTTTATACTGGAATAAGAATACAAAATAAAAAGACTGGCTTAGACGAAATGCAAATCATTTCTCTTCAATCCCCTGACATTATTCTGATGTCCTTTTTATTAAATCAAGAAGCTAACCAAAATCATTTCACAAGAAATAAATATGTGTTTGCTTTTTTGATAACATGAAAACCTTTCAAAATAAATAGGCACACAGAGATGGTCATATTTCTGTCAGATGGACTTTTTGGTTGAAGTGAGCAGAAAGGCAAAATGTGTCAGGGAATGCCAGGGGAGTAGTGCAGAGCAATTATTCTGAATTTCACACTGCGGCTTTGGTCAGTAAACATGACTCTGACTGCAATGCAGACCTCATCTGATTAATGCTGTCAGAAAACAGGGAGAGAGACATCAACAGTTTGAGAAGAGAGACTTGAGATAATTACTCAGTTTTGAACAAATAAATGCATTTATAAAAAAAATAAACTGCCCTACCTCACTCCCACCCAATCGTGTTGCCAAGCACAAAAGGAGCTCTGTTTTTGTTACGGGCAAGTTTCAAGTGAGAGCAGGTTGCTTTGCATTTTAAGCAGTGTCGTGTGGCAGGCACAATGGTTTTTTCTGTTTTGCTGTTTTTGTTTTTATAGAAGACTAAGGCAAACGTTGGGTTTATCAGCCAGGTGAAATATGGAAATGAGCCGCAACATGTTTGCTCGCTGAATACTGCCAGTTTGTCCTCAACATCAGTTGGGGCTGAACATCCTACAGCAGAGCAGCTTTCATGCCCAGTTGTAGTCACGGACAGCTGAACACCTTTGTGACAGCAAACAGCTGCTAAAGCACATAAAAACCAAGAGCTCCAAAATAACTGTGAATGTGTGGAGTTAATTTGAACATGTAGTCTACTTGGTTGGTCTTCTAGAAGGAAAACTTTACAAACAGTAGCTGATGGTCACAAAGAAAAAAATAGATTCACTGTTTCTTGCAGTGGTATAATCTCAAACTAAAAAGTGTGGGGAAAACACCTTTGATTTTAATATATTTTAGGGCTGCAACTAACGATTATTTTGATTAATCGATTAATAATCGGTTAGCTAAAGGTCCTTTTAAAGAAGCATTTTGCAAAATTAAACCAGGTGAAACTAAAACTTCCACATGAGGAGTTCTGGATAGAGCATATTGACAGACGAAAAAGATTTTTATTATTAAATATTATTGTTAAATATTAAAAAAAATTTTTTTTTACAAATTTGGTATAATCAAGGTGGGTTGCTCTGTCAGCTAAAGAGAAAGTTTAGTCTGCAAACTCCAGTTAACAATTAAACTTTTTTTTTTTTTTTTAGTAATTGATTACTAAATTAATTGACAGTTATTTCAATAATCGATTAATCATGATTAATATAATTGTTACAGCCCTAATATCTTTAAAGAGTAAAACAAGAAACAAACAAACCCAGACATAAAAATGTGTTTAGCTTAGAATTGGTCACCCCCCAAAAATGATTCAAAATTGATATACCTTAAGGGTTATTTTATCTATTTCCTGAATCTTGAAAATATTTATGAATGTACTTAGTCATCTTTAGGTGCTAACGTGAAATACCACAGTGGTCCGTTTTCTCTCTCTCTCTCTCTTTTTTTTTTTTTTTCGGTCAGACAAGGACCAATATTCATCCTGCTTTAACATTCAGTGAACAGGGTGGTAAAAGAGGTTTAAACAGAAAAACCATTGGAAAACTGTAGCAAGTAGTCATTTTGTGCTTCACCTTTTACCTAACAAAGGTTTCTATACTTTTATGTTCCCTAGACAAAACTAAAATAAGGTTATCCTCACATAACATGTTTTTTCAAGCAAAAAGAACCTCATGATTTTTTTTCTTTTTTTTTTATGTTTACAAGAACTGGATAGACACAATGATATTATAACCAATTAGTCAAAAGGATGTGGATTTTAAAGAGAATAAAGGGCCATAAACCTCTATCTCATGTCTGTTATAACATTTGGTCCATATAATAATCTAGCTTGCTTTTAACTTTTTTTTTAGTATTTGGCATTATGGAATAAAATTACATGTTATCTTCCTGCATTATATTTGGTACGTTTCTCCGATTTGGATCTCAATCAGGGAATATAAATGGATTGGAGTTATCTGGATACATTTAAAGTGAAATTTAACCAAAACGAGTTATATTTAATTCGATATTTAAGTTTCCTGACATTGAAATGTATGATTTTTTTAAGGCACCTTGCAACCCTATGGCTCAATCTTTTTCACATTTCATTATGTTACACCTAAAATGTGTTTTATTATGCTTGTATGTGTTTAATCAACCAACTGAAACAATAAGTGTAAAATCAGATTTTCCCAGATTTGTTTTCTTTTTTCTTTTACATTTACATCTACTCATCTTTTAGGGCCCTGCACACCTAGAGGCACATTTGTTTCTTCTTTTGATACATAGCTAAAGCTTGCTGTCAGATTGGATGGAGATATTTTTTATATAGTTGCTCGAGCTTCAGACCTTTTTACAGAATCTAAACTGTTCTCATGTTTTGCCCATATCTGTCTCCATTAATTCTGAGCAGCTTCCTTGCCGGTGTTGAGGGATCCCTACAACCTCCTGCTGCCGCCACCATGTTTTATTTGAAGAGTGCAGGAGTAGTATTTGCCCTTCAGCAGATTCTCCTACTTGACCTGTAGATCTTTGAAGCTTCACTACAACGACCAAAGGCAGCTTATCTAATTAGCACTTTCCTTGCCATGCGAATGAATCTGAAAGTAATGTTTTGGAAGCTTTTCAGCAGGTTGCATGGGATTAAATCAATGTTCACAGTTTAAGATATTGTCTAATAATGAGTTTGAGTTTTTGGTTGTAATGTGACCAAAAAAAAATAAAAAATTCAGTGGGTATGAAAACCTTTGCACGGCAAATGTAATATCTAATTCTGGAATTTCTGATGCAATGCTTTATTAAGTCAAACATGACATGAGAAACTTGATCAAAGCATCCCACATGACTATTCTAGTATGAACAGGGTTTTCCTTGAAAATATGTCTGTTGTTGCAAAAACCTGCACAATGGTTTAAAAGGATGCTGGCTATTCATTTAATGACTACATTGCCAGTTAACTTAAAACACCTAATGAATTAACTGACCCCGTGATAAACTTTGATATCATACAGCGAAAAGAAATTTTAATTTGTGAAAGATCAAATATATAGGATTTTTTGCTCATATCAAGGTTTTTGCTTTTGAGACAGGATTTCTTGAATTCAGGTGAGTCTTACAGACTTACAGCCTGATGTAGGTCTCATGAATTATTGCCATTTTGATCCAAACTTGTTTACTTCACTTGCCTCTCCAACTTTTAGTTCACAGGTAAAGGATGTCTGCCCCCTCCACTTCAGACCCTCTTTACCTTAACTGGAAAAAAAAGCTCTGAGTTCTTTTCAGTTTTCAATCATTCTCTGTGAGTGTGAGCTCTTCTGGACAAAACGAAATCTTAAAAAGCCTTGCAGCTGCCAACAGAC